ATGCTAAGTAAAATAAACCAGGCAGAGAAAGACAAATACGGCATGGTATCATTTATGTGTGAAATCTAAAACGAACAAACAAACAAAAAAACATAGAAACAGAGAATAAAATGGTGGCTGCCAGGGGCTGAGGAGTGAGGGAAGATGGGGAGAGGTTGGTAGGAAAGAGTATAAACTTTCAGTTATAAAATGAATGTGCTCTTAGGATATAATGTATACCATGGTGACTATAGTTAATAATTATTCTATAGTTGAAATTTGCTAAGACAGTAGAACTTAATGTTCTCATAAGAAAGGGGGGGATATAAAAGGTGATGGAAATGCTAATTAACTAGATTGTAGGAATCCTTTCACAATGTATACATGTATCATAGTATCATATTGTACACTTTAAATATATGACAATTTTGTCGATTATATCAATAAAGAAAAAATAGGTACAGAAGAAAAAACAAGAAAACTTCCCCCCCCCAAAAGCCTCAAAATGTGAGCTTGCATTTGTGAGAAACCTTGGCCCTACTGGTAGCTTGTGATCCTGGGACAGTCACAGGTTCTCTCAGAGTCTCAGTTTTTCTCATTTTTTTTTTAAATGATGCTTAAACCATCTGCTCTCCAGTGTCATACATTTCAGATAGTCTGACATTGGTGGAAGTATTTTAGAGAGACTGGCAACCTTTCAGAAGACAGTGAAAGGGAGGCTGTAAGACTCCTTTCCTCAGAGAGACATGGTGGTGTTGAACACAAAAAAAGCCTGAATGGGCATCCCAGCACTGCTTACCACTTGGCAAGTTATGAAACCTCTGTAAATCTCTCCAGTTTCTGAAATATAAAGTCGTTGGGCATGGCTTTAGGAAACATGAAGTTCCTAACATACAGGGGGCCATTTAAATTCAAAAAAATTATTAAAAGATCATTTATTTGGCTGCACCATTTCTTAGTTGTGGCAAATGGAATCTAGTTCCCTGAGCATGGATGGAACCTGGAGCCCCTGCATTGGGAGCTCAGGGTCTTAGCCACCGGACCACCAGGGAAGTCCCACAGGGGGCATTTAAATATGGTAGCTATTATTATTTTGACAAGCAATTATTGAATTACACTGAAGAGCTAGCATGTTCAGATTATCAAGCTTTACTTTTGAAGATTGTGTACCAATTCACTTTGATCCCTAAGGAAAAGCTAGAAGAGAATCGAGCTGTCCTAGCAAACCAGACACCCTGATCTTCTTTACTAGATGGCTGATGTTAACTCTGAAAGCTCACACACACCACACTTTGGGGAAATCTGGACAAGGACATCTCTTCCTTTTAGAAATCTCTGCCTAAGTCTCCACCCTCTGTGGCCGCAGGAATTCTAGTGGACTGTTGGGATCTCAAAACATTTTTGTATTCTAAAGAAGATAAGATTATAGTGCAATAATTCCCAATCCCCTTTTTAAAGCACCAGAATCTTATTTTAAAGTTAAAAAAATTTTCAAGAAATTCCATATAATAATAGTTCTACTTTCAGTAGCTTTTGATTGAGAAAATACATGACAAAAAAATCAGCACAACTAAAAGAGATTAGAAGATCCTCTCTCTAACATTTTTTTGAAATAGGTGTTATATGAATGTGATAAAAAATTCACAAGGTACAAAAGGGAATATCATGAAAAGTATTCTTCTTGCACACCATTCCTCCATTGCCCTTCTCCAGAAAAATACTACTGTTTCCATTTCTGCTGTGTCCACTCAAAGGTAATCTAGAATCTACAAATATTTATGTATTTATCTTTTATTAATGTTTTTTCAATTATTTGTCCTTTAAGACCAAATGATAGCATATCTTGCTACTTTTCTTCACCTGTTGCACTTTTCTGCATACTTAACCATGTCATGTTATACTTGAAAATGGATATGTGAGAAGAAAAAGAGAATATGTATTTTTATTCATCACACTGGCATCTAGTATTGCAAAATTTCATTGCATTTTTAATATACAGAAAGTCCTAGTGAGTAATAACTAAATACCACATAGAGAGTCTCAGCTCTGAGATTACTTATACACTGGTATAAGTAAAATATCAATAACATTCAGCATTAATTTTGGCCCTTACTCTACACCAGACATTGTTCTAAGCACTTTACACTTATTATCTCACATAATCCACATCCTTCAAATCCTTCTAATCCCAGTTTAAATGTTATCTCCTCAGAGAAACCTTCCCTTATCCAAGTAGACCTATCCTCTCCCCCTATCCATCATTTCCTATCATCTCATCCTATTTTTTTTTCTCAATCAGGACAGTTACCTATTCACCTGCTTGTTTAGTGTTGTCTCCCCAGATGGAGTAAGAGCTTTGGGAGTGGGGACAGTGTCAGTTCTGTTCACTGCAGTATTTCCACTGACCAGTCCTAGGCTTTGGTGCCTGGCACAGAAGAGACATTCCGCCAGATATTTATTGAATTAAGTACATAATGAGCAAAAAACAATTTGTGAGGCAGACCTCAGTATGATCCCTATGATATGAATAAAGAAGCTAAGCCCTAGAGAGGGAAATAGAGTCAAGCCCAAATTAGTAATGTACAAAATTGGTATGAAACCCAGCACTGCTTGACCCTAGAATGCAAGCTCTTCGCTGGTCTACTCTGACTACTCTGGTCTCAGAAACAGAAGATTGAGTACAATCTTGGCTGTGTGTGATCTTGAGTAATCCCCTTTTCCTCCCTGGGATTCTCTTCCATTGAAAAAAATGAAAGGGTGGAGTTACTAATCTTCCTTATAGCTATGATGGATGAAAACAGAAAAGGAGACACTGAAGGGGCCAACAAGATGGGCTTGATGCCTTTAAGAGAGCTGAGTTTCCATTCAATAATTCCTACCTTCCTTTCTTCTGAGGATTTGCTGATCTTTATTCTATGCCAGGCACTGTGTTGGGGGCCCCTTTGGCATCCAAAGACTAATAGGATATAGTCCCTGCCATTAAGGTGCTCAGCCTGATGGGTCTAAAGCAGATCTATTAATAGCTGCTTGAAGTACAGTACAGGTCTTTGTCATAACAGTAATATGTACATGGCACTTGGTAATGCAGAAGAGGAAGGGATTAACTTCCTCTTTGTGTGTGTATGGTGGTGGGGATGGTGGTACACACATAGGGAGGGAGGGGTGAGGCATACTGATGAGCTGGGCCGTGGAGCTAGAATAGTTTTCCAGGTGGACAAGGCAGAGGTGTGACTTCTTGGATACAAGAGACATCATGTCCAGAAGCACACCCAGAACCAGCACAATGTGCCGAGGATCACTAGGGTAGAGGCTTGGCTCCCAGAGGATTGAGCTGACTGTGAACCCATGAAGAGCCATGCTGGAGAGTTTGGACTTTACTCCTGAGGGCAGTGGCATGACCAAATCATATTTATATTTTATTTTTAGAAGATCACTCTGGCAGTGGTAGGACTGGAGGAGGGTGATGAGGTGAAAGGTGTGGAAAGCAGTTAGAAGGCTGTGGGGTGGTCAGGTAAGAGATGAGGAACACATGCACCTCATGTATTCATACAGTTGCAAAGAACTAGATAAATTGGTTTTTTTTTTTTTTTTAAACGTAGGGGCTTTTTAAAAGGTAGGGATTTTTAAAAAGGTAGAGGCAAAGGATTTGAAGGTTGATTGGATGAGGGATAATAAAATGAGACTGAGGGTCTTATTGCGCCAGGTTGGCTGGCCAAGTATAAAATGGTTCCCTTAATAATTACTTGGAATTTGGAGCTGAGTGGGAGAAATAATGATGTTGGCTTTGAGTATGTTAAGTTTGGAATGTCTCTTAGCCAGGAGGAAAAGCTCTAGCTCCCTCCTCCCTTTCCAGAATAGCATTCCCAGCTCAAGTCAGACGTCCTCCATCCTTCAGCTAGTTTCCTGCAGTCCTCAGTCGAGGATGAGATTCTCCAAGACCTTACTGGAATTCCTGAGCTCTGTATCCTTCAAGGACATAAGCTGGGTATTAAAAACTCTCCGGATCCTTAATGATAGAGTGAGAAAGGATCCTTAACTTGCTTTTTAAAATCAGATGCTGGCTTCAGTGGAACAAACTCTCCTGCCTCTTGTAAGCATCGATCTTTGAGAAAGAAACCATTTCCTGTGGGGTAGCTCTGGCCCTGACCATCTCTGGCTCTCACGTTGGCTCCCGAGAAGCCCCCACCTCCTTAGGGAGCAACTTTAAGGAAAAAAGAAGAAGAAGAAGAAGGTGATGAGCTTGTGTAGCATGCAGCCTGGTTCTGCCTGACTGCTGGAGAAAGCCCAGAGACTTAGGGGCTAGACCCTCTCTTAACCACCACCCCTGGCTGGGTGGCCCCAACGCCTAGCCAAGACTCCATGTAGCCTCAACTCTTCCCCCAAATGACGGGGCTGGGATCCTCCCCAGCTGACTCGAATCTCCAGCCACTCACCAGGCGGTGGAGGACCAAGCCCGTGGGCTCAATTCGGGACTGGCCCCTAGGGTCCTGCCGGGGCAGGGAATACACAACCCAGGAGGCAGGTCAGTCACCCCGGCCGTGGCTTCTCCCTGGCTCCCACAGCCGAAGTCTAAAGGCAGTGCACACCCTGTGTCCCACACCCACCTTCATAGGACGGTACCAAAATCCGCTACCTCTACTCCGCCCTCTGCTCACGCACTGCCCCCACTGTCGTGCCCATAAATCCCCAAAGCACAGGGTAGCACGATTCCTCCCGCTTCCCTGCGGGGCCTGAAGCTGGGCACTAAAAGCAGTGCAGTCCCAAGCTTCCCCTGCAGAAGCCGCGCTCCCCACTCGGTTCGGGGGTAGAGGGGGCGCGAGAGAGCAAGTGGGAGGACGTCCCATCCTCCGCATCCTCCTCCCGGTCCCGGCGCGCAGGGTGGGAGCGCTGCGCCGCTCCGCGCTGCGCATCTCGGCCCGCTCGCCGCCTGCCCCCCTGCCCTAGCTGGGCCACCTCCCCGGGCCGCCGGTGGAGGGCTACTGGGCGCTAACGTTACGCTGTTTCCGGTTTTCCAGCGGGCTCCGCTTTCCCCTCCCAAGGCGGCGGCGGCGGCGGCGGAGCGGCGGAGCCCCCCAAATGGCCTGGCCAGATGCGGCAGGTTTGCTGCTTAGCGCTGCCGCCGCCGCCGCCGCCAGTGGAGAAGGCTCGGTGCAGCAGCTACAGCGACAGCAGCAGCAGCAGCGAGAGGAGCAGCAGCAGCAGCGGCAGCGGCAGCGGCAGCAGCGGCGAGAGCGGCAAGAGCAGCAGCAGCCACATCAACAGCAGCAGCATCTCTCGTCCCGCTGCGCCCCCAAAGCCGCGGCCGCCGCAACAGCCGCAGCCCCGCAGCCCCGCAGCCCCGAGAGCCGCCGCCCGCTCGCGAGCCGCAGCCGCCGGAGGCATGAGGCGCGACCCGGCCCCCGGCTTCTCTATGCTGCTCTTCGGTGTGTCGCTTGCCTGCTACTCGCCTAGCCTCAAGTCGGTGCAGGACCAGGCGTACAAGGCGCCCGTGGTGGTGGAGGGCAAGGTACAGGGGCTGGCCCCGGCCGGCGGCGGCTCCAGCTCCAACAGCACCCGCGAGCCGCCCGCCTCGGGTCGGGTGGCGCTGGTGAAGGTGCTGGACAAGTGGCCGCTCCGGAGCGGGGGACTGCAGCGCGAGCAGGTGATCAGCGTGGGCTCCTGCGCGCCGCTCGAAAGGAACCAGCGCTACATCTTTTTCCTGGAGCCCACGGAGCAGCCCTTGGTCTTTAAGACAGCCTTTGCCCCTCTCAACACCAACGGCAAAAACCTCAAGAAAGAGGTGGGCAAGATCCTGTGCACTGACTGCGGTGAGTTGCCCCCTCTCTCTGCTGGAGAAAGGGGGGAGGGGCGAGGTGGTGGAAGATGGGGGTGGGGCGAGAGGTATCTGCAGGTGCCCGGGCCTGGCAGCGCCCCGGGCCGCTGGTGAGGGGGAGGGGGGTGGCGGGAGAACGGGTGGTGGGGCCGCCGCTGGGCAGGGCGCTTGGCATGGTGGGTGAGGGGGTTGGTGTTGGGGAGAAGGAAGATTAGGCTCGAAGTGTGCCAGGGCTGGGGGGCGGGGGGACGCGCTGGCCTGTGCCAGCAGGGATCTGCGGCTGATGTATGGCATGTGGGGCTGGAAAGCTGCCATCATAGCCCAGTAGCGGCAGGAAAAACGGAGAGGTCCTCGTGTTGCTGGCCCGAAGCTCAGTGAGTCAGGAGTGACCCTCGGAGGCCTTGCCCGCTCTGCTCCCAAGGGCCTGCCTTGCCCAGGCTGGCAGGGTCTGCAGGAGCAGCTGAGCAGACTCCCAGGCTGTGAAGGCCTCCGCTTACAAGTTCTCCTAGGGAATGATGGCCCCCGCCCCCTCCTTCCTCTCAGGGGCTTCGGCTCAGCTCATCCACACCGCTGGCGCAGGCAGAGTTGGACTTTTTCTGCTGTTTTCTGTCCCCCATGTGGTTCAGGGTTTTGTTTTGTTTTGTTTTTTCCTCCATCGTGATTGCTTGTCTTTGCCGAGCTGGTTGCACAGCCCTCTCTTAACCTCCAGTACTAGTGAGCAGACAGCTCTTTTGGCCGTTTCTGGGAGATCTTCCTAGGTCTGACGGGTGAAATGGAGTAACTTCTCCTGAATGCTGTGAAGTTCAGCTCTGACATCTTACCACGCAGGCTGTGTTGACTACCTATCTCATCTTCCTGATGTTGGGTGCTGCACAGGAATGCAGGTGATGAGAAACACAACAGTGAAGTCTGTCGATCTGTGCAGCTGGGAATGGAGTCTCCCATGTCAAAAGTCAAAGAAATGTCAGTTTAAGATCTTTTCCTCCTTGTCCCTGAATCCAGTAATTACTTCTCAGGAAGCTATTTCAAACCAAATTGTCGCTGGAGTGGAGTGTTTGGTGTTAGCCTGTCTTGTGCTTATTCATATTGGGGTTTCATTTTGTCCCAACTAAGGCTGAATTTGATGTTTGCAGTGTGCGTCTGAGCTGTGCAGTCACTGAACTGTGATAGATACCCTGGTCTGTCATAGAAGCTGGTATATTTACTGGTCTGCCAACTGCTTCTGAATAGTGTAAATAATACTCTGAGTAGCAAAGAATGTGTAACAGCTCGGAGGAAGTTTTGCTGCCCTCATCTTTCTAGATCAATGCCTTTGACTTTTGGAAGCTTCCTTTCTACCGCATATCCCCCACCCCCTCCCTGCCCCTGTCCCTCAGGACACAAATTTTAGTTTGTGGTGGGAATATATCTAGGTATTATGTTAAACTGTGATCACTTTACTCAGAAGAATCTTGCAGTGTCTTAATAAGGAAGAAAGAAACTTTTGGTGATAGCAGTTTATCTCTCTGACATTGTTCTAAGGAATATTGTTGACCACTCTTTAATGTTGGTTTTATGCTCTGAGACATTTTATGATAAGTTGAGACCAGTTAAGAATTTCTAATTTTTTATTCTGTTAAGTGATTATTTTTTTCTGAGATTCCTTGGGGGAGCTGTGGAACTGTATTATGCAGCGAGAAATAGATAGTAAAAACATTTATTGAACCTTGTCCAAGGACAGCTTCTGTTTTGGTTTCCAGTGAGTTGCTCCTGAGTGTGCAGTGTGTGCATCACCACCTAATCCCCAGTCTGGTGCACAAAGCCCCAGCGGTCATCACCCCCTGTCGTGCTCCTCTGTTCCCCCTTCTTCTTTCAGTTTTACCTTGTTTGTTTTAGTGAGTATTTAATAGCTTAATAGTTGAATGTGGAGATCATGAAAGACCTAGGGGTCAGAAATATAGTCCACTTTTATTGTGATCATCTCGTAAACATAGCATGTGTAATGTAGTTCTCAGGAAGATAAATTTAGGGCTGCAAGCACTGCTAATGAGAAGGCCCTCACATCACAGATTATCAAGGGGCAGGAACATGTATGGGAGTAAACATATTAGAATACAAAAATTTTTGCTATGAATTGATGGTAAATAGATACACATCAGTTTGGGGGGGCTTTATCTAAGGGGATTAGGAATTAAAGGACATTTCCTCGAAAAAACTTTTGGAACTGGTGATAATATGACAGAAGAGCATAAACTGCATTTTCTTACTTTCTACAATGTTTTTAAAGAAAACATGCACTAGTAATGGTATATTAAATAAGGAAGCAAATCTTTTTAACTAACCACAACACCTTCCTTGTGTTCAGCAGGAAATAACTAACAAATTCATTTTCTGTTTTCTATGTCTAAAGAAAGCCCTCTGGGCCAAAGGGTCATTGGGAACATTTTCTCCTTGGAGCAGATCTGCCCATTGCAAAATAGGGAAACTGGCACCTGGAAACTGTCATGATGGCCGTTATATTGAGCAACTGTGGTTGCATTGTTACTTTGTTTAGCCAGTTTCAGCTCTGAACTGTCTGGGTTCTTGGAGGTATGGTCCCTAGGGAGATCTTTCAGAAAGCTGTATCTTGGTGGGCCAGGACTTGGGGACAAGATGCCCTATGGAGAGATGAAGGTCTTAATAAGTGGGTAATTTTACCACAACTATGAATGTTGACTTGAAGCCTGTGAAGTCCTCCTGGAATAGCAGTATTTGCTAGAGGCCTTTTTTATAGATCTAATGTGTATCATTCATCTCAAATTACTACCTCTGGTGGTAAAGAGTGGAGTAAAATCTTTGCATTTCTCAGAAGACTATATACATGGATGTGTTTTCTGTGCCTTCTGAGAGAAGGACAGGAAAAAGATTTGAAAAGGACTCTCATGGATTAGAAATTCTGTACTATGCTATACAAGCATCCTGTTCTGCAAATAGTCCTGCATTTTTAATGATGGTTGCATGTATCTTGGCTTAATCACACCCTTTCTTGTTGCTCTCCTGTATGTATATGGCTTTTAAATTGTTTCATTATTGAATAGATGCAATAAATATATGTATATATATTTAAAGAAAGATCATTCTTCCTTTGGGACTTTCTGATTTGGCTTTTTCTTGCAATGTATAGTGTACTTTGTTGTTAAAGATAGAAAAGGTGTATTCCTGGGGATCTTTATGTTCTTTAGAATACTTTAAATTAATGTGGTACTCAGATTCACATGTTAGAGCAAGGTGGTCCACAAAATTCAGTATAGCAAAAGCAAGTGCATATTTTTAAAATGCTGTTTATTTAAAGAATCTTTTCTTCCCCAGCCAGCAGGAAACCCAGCTGTGCTGCAGCTAGAAGATGGGAAAGTGAAAGTAGATTAGAAACTGACCAGTCCTAGTAGTGAGGAAAGGCTTGGTTATAGATTTAAGGGTAGAATTATCATTATAATGTCATTATTTCTTTCAGTTTCTTAGCCGATCGGGATTCTTGGGGCAGGAACCTTATCTTATCTTTGAGGTCTTTCTCCTAGCTTTCCTTCCCTTCAATGTTTGATACTGCCCCTGGTTTACAGAGGGATTCTCATAAGTGTCTTTTGAATGGATGAAGTCAAGTGAAGTTCAAAAAGTAGTCCTCCAGATTAATACTTTTAAACCAGTCTTATTTCTCCTATCTGTGACACCAAGTCTGGTGCTGGAAAGCTGAGTTTGATGATAAGCCCTTACCTGTCGCTATGGGAACCTTTTTTTTTCTGAAGTTGTTATCAACTAGAGTACTTAACCACAATGTGCTTAATCATTATGCTGATTAGTGTTAATGGGATTTGTGGAGAATCTACACCTTGTTGGAGAAGACCCCCCCCCCTTTTTTTAGAGGGCAGTTTATCACCTCCCGAAACTCCCATGTCTGAACAAAAATAACTATCAGCTTGAATTAACAAAAGATCTGGGAGCTAGAGGGGGTGGTATATTAACTAAGTAGGTGACTAACTTCTTATTGGTCCCAGTGCTCTTAACTATCTTTTATTATCTGGGATATTTTAATTTCATTTTCTAATAGCAAACATGTCATTAACTTTTCCCTTATAAGATTGTATATATATTTTGAATATGTAAAACCTTCATATGGCTCAAAATTTAAAAAGCACACAAGAATATACAGTGAACAGTTTCCTTCTTACCCCTGTCCTCAGCTAACCAGATCTTAGGCAATTATTACATATTCTTTAAAAGTGTATTTCCCTAAAAGCAAAATATTTTTCAAAGTAATCTCGTATTTTTTCTTAACAGATGGAGAATGTTAATTTTTCCATTAAGTCAATATTATGGTAAATTCTTCCCCAGTAGTATATATATAACTTTTTTTTTAAACCTAATCTAAGATCTCAACCAGTATCCTGCCTTACAAATATAACCCTAGGGTAAGGAATAAAAATACCAACTTATTTTTCAGATACTTTGCCATTAAGAAGTTTTCCATGACAGTGCATTTTGGAGTGAGTCTTAATGGAGATGCTCAAAGGAAGATGCAAATGTTTGTCACTGAGCTTTAGGGCAGCAGCCTTACTCACACAGCAGTTGCTGCTGTTTACACTCTTGGTAGGTCATCTCACAATAGCATCCATGTGGGAAATCACATGATCCCATATATGGGAAGAGAAAACGCCACAGTGCCTGATTGCTTTAATTCTCATTTAGAAGCCAAAGACCTCAGTTGCTGACAAAGAACTTGATTTTGATCATATTTGTGTACAGCTGGTAGGAATCCACAGGGAATTGGCCACTTGAATACAATTTTGAAGTATGTTTAAGGTAACTGACTTGAATGTAGTGTTAAATTTTCAGAGGATCAAAGAATTCCCATTTGGATAAGTAGGGTTAAAGCAAATATGCAAACCTAAACAGTGGGCATTCTTAACCCTCTAAAGCCTATTGGATTAGTAGCAAATGGCAGTTTTGAACATTCACTTGGAAAAGGAATGATGATCTCAGTATCAGTGAATTTTCCCCTGTGTAGTCTTTGACACTTGTTCTTGGGACTTTCTTTTCAGGATCTGAGGTGCTGTTAGTATAATTTACACCAAAAGTAAAAGGAATTTCCCTTCAAATTTTGA